AACGGGCAACCTTTAAGCCAGATTGCATGCCATCAGCAACGTAGCGACTTCATTGGGGAGGCTTTCTCTGAAACGCAGAGGAACTATGATTTAGCCCGCCTTCTATCTCTCTCTGGTCACGCTTCCCTGGCGGCATGCTGTTTGACCTCTGCCCTTCGTCTTGAAAGCCTGCCGGGACATGATACAGGAATGCAAATACCCGCAGCGCCGTTTGTTTTGCGGGTCGCTCTGCTCCAACAAGTTGAGTTTAGCAAAGCGCTGCTTTGCACGCTTTGCACACACAGAAGCCTATCATGTATCCAAGGCCTCTAATGCGATCGAAAATGTCCTGAAGGTCTAGGACTCACCAGCGCACAGCTTTACTGTGTACTGTAAGCCAGAGACCCTGTACAGGCGCCACACAGGTCAACATCCTGAGTGTACGCTGAAAATCGTCCTAGGACGCTCAGAAAATCACTCCGGCCAAAACGGTTGCCGTGGCGCATGCCATCATTTTGCCCGCTCCTGCTCCGCTGGTAGAGGTTGCGTTAGTGCAGACAGGAACTTGCGACCAAGACAAAGTGTCAGGCGTCATGTTGTTGGTCTCTGCATAGGCAACATTGTTGATGCAGAGGCCGTCCGTAGGAACAAAGTTCTGCTTCCCTCCTTCTGAATCGGAGCACAGCATGGAGATCTTGGTCACGTCACAAGTCTTGCCATCATCAGGCACCACGGTGCAGTCGAAGTCAGCAGCAGTAGACGAGGAGTTGCCAGTGATTGTGTTGCCCTCCTGGCAGCTGAAGCCGCCATCTGTTGGGATACTCAAGGTCCAAGTCCAGGCAGCGCGGCTGGGGGCAAGGCCGGAAAAGATCTGGACCGCCACAGCGCCAAATCCAGCTGCGAGTGCCTTCGAGATCATGGCGGATGTCTTAGCTTTTGTGAGGCGAGCAAGTCAGAAGTCACAACGGGCAACCTTTAAGCCAGATTGTCCACGAGGGCAGGTGACTGCTTCTGAAGTCTCATGGACTGGATGGCCCAAGCCCCTTGCCTGGACTCTATCGTGCCCACAAAGAAGTCGGCCCTGCCGAGCGTAAACACTCCCGTAAGGGTCAGGGGGAAGGGGGAATGGAGTGTGTTACAAGTGTATGCAAGGATTACCACTGAAATTTCTCTGTAATTTATCAAAATACCAGGTTCCTTACACGCTCACTAGATATGCCTGCAGCATTCAGGGTAATCCTGCTTTGAGAAATCCCCAGACCAGCCTTAACCCTAAACCCTAAACACCATATATCCCCGTGTAACCCCTATAACCCCCTTCAACCCTTCAACCAAACCCTAGATAGTAGTTTCAATTTTGTTTTCCATTATCCTAATACAACCCCAATATATACCCTATTATAATATTATAGTTTCCATTGTCTTTTCCATTGTTCCCTATGTGACCCCAATACTACGTAATGCTGATGTACTATATAACCCTAAGATTACCCCAATGGGTACCTCAACCTTAGCCTTCATTCCTACCAAGCACCAGGTGCATGGTGCATGGTGCTTGTGCAGGTCTCCAGGGCTGTGATTTCCCAAATCCTCCCCTCCGCCTAATGGTTTAGGGTTTAGGGCCAAAATCTCCCCACGCCCCTAAATATACATATTTCCCATAATAATATAAATGGTACCACATTGGTTCTATTTTGGGGAGGTGGAGGGGTTCATTATTAGGGGGGAGGTTACTAGCAACAGGTCCTAGGGATGCTACAAGAGCGTCCTCTTGGGGAGCCTAGGGATTTATGGGGATTACTATTATGGGGATTCTGATTTGGATTTTAATGGCTTAGGGTTTAAGGTTCAGGGATTCAGGGATATTTTGAGAAATCTACTTTGCGAGTGGTATAAAGGGCTTGGAAGTCCAAACATTTATAGGGGCAACGGGCTTGCACCAAAGCACATTGCTCGATACGTAGACTCGACTCCCTAAACCCCAAACCCTATTCTAGTAGCATTTAATGTATGTATTGGGTTCGCTTTGTTCTCCGGCCTCGATGCAATCCAGGTCTCCACAATCGCCTCCAAAGAGACTTCAAATCAGGTAAGAGTGAGAGAGTAGTCATGGCAACCCAAAAAAGTAATAGTACGGGTAACAGTACCACCTGGTAAGGGTGATGCAGGGTCCCTATGCACAGAAACTTGAACTGTTCATGATGCTGCTTTTAAGCCCTAAGCCCTGCTAAAATCCTTGGTGCTAAATCTACGCTGAAGTGTTTATGTTCAAATGGCTGGTCTGGGCCCCTTGTCGTCATTGGACACTTGCTGCGAAAACTTGCGCTCCAGTTGCCAGTGTTCCCAATCCTCACAGGTGACCATACTAACCCCCAATATAGATCAGCCCAAATTCTCCCTGAGTGACACTAACTTAAATCAAGAGGAACCTATGGGTCGGGAAAGTATACAAGGGGGAGTGGTAGGGCAGTCAATTCAAGTTTGAGGCTGCTTTTTTCCGAGGCGCCCGTGTAGAGGGGCCACAGCAGATGTCTTAGGCTCGGGGGTCAGTGGGGAATAAGGGAATATAACCCCTATGTAAGATATTCCCTTATTCGGTACTAACCCCAGTAAGTAGACGGTCATTACGGGTGGGAACCCTGATATTGATTTATGGATTCTAGCAGGTTTCCTTACACCAAACACTTAACCTTCAACCTCTAAAAGCACCCCACAGCCCTACATGGCAACAGCAACATCATGACTCGGTCGGCTACAGAAAATGTTCTTTTTTGTGAGCGCCGAAGGCATGCTCGTCTCCCCAGCACGGAAGGAAGGAAATGAAGGACGCGAACCAGTAACTTTGGGGAGTGTGTTGGCTTAAGCGTTAAGGTTTATGGGGATCCATTCCTCCATTCCCAGCTAAGCACCAGGGAGTCTTCGTCTCAGACAGGGCACCCGGAGTGAACGCCCACTCGGGAGGCCCACTTCTGATCTTTTGATCCATACATGTCTTCCGCTGGAGTCTATTTTTTGGAATGACAGCCTCAACACACCCCTCCGATGTCTGGAGGCACTGTTAAGTTGAGAGCTTGTCTCTTAAAAGCCACGGGCTACTTCAGTAGCACCAGAGCTCGTTGGCTGGCAATCTTTACCCTGCCTTTGCGCACATTTGCTTTGGGCGGTTGCCAAGGATGCAATCGAAGCATGCAACAGCCCCCTCCACTTAAATCTTGCCGCCGACGCAGGCACGTGTCGCTTTTGAGATCTAATCTGGAACTAAGCACCAGAGGTTCCAGCAAAACTCACATCCCACCCTCCCCCACCTCTCCATGCCTGCAGTCGCGAGAAATTCCTTCACCTCATGTTCTTCTGTGGTATTTCTGTTCCTCTACAGGAAACATGGAAGCGCAACTGCTCGCCGCGTCTCCCCTCTTTTTTCGGATCCCTTGGAGCCTGGGCCTGTGACATTCCTGTCTCTTGACGCAAAAATGCCTCAAGAGACAAAACACTATATAACACCTCAGCAACAAAATCACGGCTGAACAGGCTCCACACGGCTGTCAGAGAGCGAGACACCCTGCAAAAGCGGACAGTGTTCGCAAACCAAGAAACATGTCAACATGCAAATCACTTAAGCAGAATCTCTCTCTCCTGCCACCTGTAAGTCGGATCCCTTTCTGGTGTGGTGATGCACAGATGCTGTCACGGAATTGCCGGCATCATGCTGGTTTTCCTGTGCATCCACGGCCCAGGGCAGTATGGAAGGAAGCCTGGCAGCATGGCTGTAGCTTCCCCTCTGCAATTTAAGGGCTGTCCTGAAGGCCCTCTGAGGCCACACCTATACACCTATGAAGGATGCCCTCATCCAGAGGCACCTTTGGTGTGGGTTAGACTTTTCAAAAAAATCTAACCCATCGGTGTGATGTGTCAACTCGAGTCCTTTGGTCCCCTCACAGCGACACGTTGACGCCGCCGGTCAACAAGGAATCTCCTTGGCCTGGCATTCAAGGTGGAGATCTTGTCTTGCCCTTGAGGAGTCTTGATTGTACATACACATATATATACATACATAAGAGGGACCTTACGAATATGTAGGGAATTTCAAGAGGTTATTAGAGCTCTCAACTCAGCAACAGATTGTAAGCGATTAGCGCGGTACTGCCGCCCCCCAATCAAGCTTTAAGAGTTTATGAACATATATACCCTATCATATTATAGTAGTTTCCATTTGATTTTTCCATTATCCCAATATAACCCATATATAACCCCAATATACTATAGTAGTTTCCATTTTCTTTTTCATTGTCCCAAATACAGGTTTGCTTGATTCTGGCAGGAGGAAGGCAATATCGGGTTGGGTTATAGTCCCCCTTAAGTAGATAGAATATGGGGTATATGGGGATCCTATTATAATATACCCAAAGCCATATTCTATCTACTTAAGGGGGACTATAGGGTCATGAGCAAGAACACTTCCGCTGCAAAAATAGGCTGGTTGGACATCTGGTTCTCAAACCTGTCCCTTTACAACCCTTGAGGCCCGGCTTATTAACAAACTCCTGTATCCGTGCAGTGGATTTTTCTTTCGGCTTGAGCACTTCTCCATGCCCATGCTCTTTATCTTCTCTCACCACAGAAGGACTAACTTTCCAAACTCATATCAGTTTGCAGCGCTTTCGCTACCAAATTTGCAGATTGAGAATCTTTCATGCCTCAAACCGATCTGGACCTTACAAGGAAGTAACACAGTGGTTCAAAACCACCGAAATAGCCCTACAGGCTCTTATTTTACCAGAGCTATTGTCTAAACTCCTAGTATCCCCCTTAATAAGCCCTACAATATCCTCTAATGGTCCCCATATTATCCCCTATGTACCCCCCCTTGAAGGAGTTTAGACCCTAAACCCTAAACCCTATATGGAACCCCAATGCCAATATAGACACCAAAACTACTGTAGTCCTTGCTTACCATAAGGGAAACCAAAAAAGGACGCCCCCCCCGTCCTAATTTTGAGAAACTCCCATATACTTCTGGAGCCCGCGTAACCTCTCAACGGCAACTGCTACACTCGATCTCTGCTGTCCAGCCTTGCTTGCCGACTGAGGTCAGTCCTCAGCACTCTGGTAGTACAGTAGCCATTTTGGCTTGTTGAAGAGGTTTAGGGCTTAACCAGGGGATACTATGTGTTGTTCTTGTTCTTATGAGTATTACTAATTACTGATGTTCCCTGCTAGGCATTGCCATCGTGTTTTAATGGTTATCGTGCCTTCTACTGCTTTCCAGCTACAACAGAACTCCCCCCTTAAAAATAGCTTGCATCGCACTGTATATCACCTCCACTTACCCTTAAGCACCAGGAATCGCGCTGAAATGATCCCTAGGTCAATACATCCTGAATCCAAAGCCTTTCTTGAGGAATAGGGGTTTTAGGGTCTAGGCCAGAATTAAGCGTCCCTTCACCCCGAAACCCCAACCCTCCCGCAACCCTAAATCTGCAACCCCCAGAGCTGGGCCCCTAGTACCTGCCCTTAATCCTCGGGTACTTATATATCATGAAAAGCCGACATGCACTGCGAAGCCCTACAAGCGGTTTGGGGTTTAGGGTTTAGGGGTTTCGGGTTTAGGCCTGGCCCGTAGTTAGGGCATGGTTCGGGACCCATATTCGGGAGCCCATGGTTAGGACCTAAGAGAAGCATGGCAGGACCCCTCATATGAGCTACAATCGGTATTTCCCCATAGACTGGCGAACATATTGGGGACTAAATATGCTGAACTACCAAAGGAACCCCTATGTCTACCCTATAAACCACTACATAATCCCAGTTTACATTTCATGTACCATGTTCTTTTCCATGTGATTCTCCATTATATAATAGTTTCCATGTCCTTTTCCATCCCCCCTACTTAATCCCTACATATTCCCTTTCGAACCCTAT